TTATGGTTGGTAAGATCTACACCTAGCCCTCTCGGATACGGGCGAAAACCTCGCCGTGTGCAAGGTGCGCCCGTTAAAGTTCCCTTGGTGGTCCAAAAATCGATAAGAGAAGGCTTCGGCCGCCGCCCGGGCAAAATTCAAAATTTCCTACCAACCGAAAATTGTTTGGTGTGTCCGGCGCGCTCATATGACCTTATGCAGTTGCGAGCGCCGTAAAACACTTACCACCCCCCCCAAAAAAAAACAACACAAAAAACAAACAAACAAACAAAACAAACAAACCAACAAATCAACCTAAAGGACCAGCATTTGTGATGTAAAATAGTCAGATAATTCGCGACAGAAGGCATTAGTTCCATTCCTATTTGGCAAGTTCTTTTGTTGACTATCTTGGTCTATCAGCTGTGATGGTGCACCCATCTCTGCCAGGGTTAGCCCTGACACTGACAGGCAGCCCGCAATTGTGTCGATTGAGGCGTGAAACATTTACAATCGTTTCAACAACCACACATTGCCAAGAACTCTTAAGCGCAGCTTGAGTGCTGAAAGTGAAAGGATGTAGCAGAAGTTGGGATTCTGTATCTCTCTCAGCCCAGGTTGGCCCTGACAGGCAGGTCAAAGCCAGCCTCCTTAATGGACTAAATTTTGTCACTGGGAGCGTAAAACAACGTTTAAAAGAAGAAAAAAAAAGCCTGCCCCTTTTTCGTTTCTCTGCCTGTCCCCTCTAGTTGTATGTTATGGGTTTTGCGGAGACATTTCATCTCGCATGCAGTGATTTTGCTTTCATGGGTTTTACTTACTACAAAAACTACAATTACTTTTTTTAACGTCCTTATCTGTGGTAGTTTTTATATGGTATGATCCTTCTCCTTTTCGTTGTTCTTATTTCATCTTCTGTTACATGTATCAACCCGCGCCATGGATGTGGCAGCAAAGATAGTACATGTACTATCTTTGTGTTGTACTATCTTTGTGTGGCAGTAAGACTGTTTACCATTGCACGCATGAGACTTTAGATCGATTCTTAATTGGAGTACCGGTATCTCGGTCGGTCTGGCTGCAGGGATGTTGTATCCCACTCGGCTCTGGTCAGCTCTGACGGCAGGCATGGTCGAAACAATCTATCAAACAAATACAAATGTATGAGAAATTGTATAGGTGTTAAACCCATTGCAACGCTGTAACGTTATTTATGAAGCGGAATCTCCGAATTTAACGACCGTTTCCGATAGGACCGAACCAAATTGGGGGAAAAAATCGATTTGAGTGTCTTTCTCAAGGACACAACGTTGGGCCGAGTTGAGTCCCGAGCCCCCGAACCCGCAAATTTACGATTACGATTACGAGTCTGGAAGACTGACTAGTACAGCTGGGCGATTAATTGATTCCGAAACGATAAGTCAGAGTATTGAAACGGAGGAGGGGTCCCACGATTAATGCTACGATAGAAAAGTTCCGACTCCTTTTTACGTAAACCAACGGTTACCAGTTACTTTAATCAATAAAATCTTTCTTCTTTTTTTTTTAGATTATATTTTTGAAAAATAAAAAGTTGATGCTTCGTAGTGTTCCGAAATCAAGATTTGTTCAAAATCCTGAAGATGTTCGGAGCCAACAAGATAACCACCGGAAGAAAGCACATCATTAGAAAGCAAGTAATTGGGTTCGGAGTCAATTCCCACGATTCCCAGCTTTCAATAATCGGGAACCTAGCCACCCAGCACTACTGACCAGTAGGCGTCCGACGCCACCGGGTCGAAACAGACCGACTTCTTGATTAGGAACCACTGCCATCATCATCATCTGGCGCACTTGTCATAGTAAACCAGGCAAGCAAGAAGACTTTCCGGTACCTGCAGAGAAGATATATTATTGGAACTTTCACGGGAACTGGTTTCTGTTGGGGTGATGTGTGGACAGGATGATTTTAGGGGGCTCTCGTGGCCTAGAGGTTAAGGTGTTGGCCTCTCATTCAAAGGTCCCGGGTTCGAATCCGGATAGCGACCGAAAAATGTTATTCTCTGAAATTGTCTCCTTTCACCTACTTTCCTGCTCTCTAGCCTATCAATGTTCTGTCGTCTGCTTTCGTCTCCTGTTTCTGCCCCCACCCCCTCACCTCCTTTGTCCCTTTCTCTGGGCTCCTGATTCTTTCTGCAGCCTTTCTACAATGCACTGCTACTCCTTGGCTCCTTCGCACTTCTTTCTTTCAGCCACACCCCTGATCTTCTGGTAGGAAAGATCTACACCTAGCCTTCTCTGACAAGGGCGAAAAATCTCGGAGGGCACGTGTGCAATTTGCGCACGTTAAAGATCCGTTGGGGATCCAAAATCGAATATGAGTACGCTTTGGCCGCCACCCGGGCAAACTTCAAATTTTCCTATCATCTGAGAACGTTAAAATGTGTCCCGTGTGCTCATACAACCTTATGCAGTTGCGAGCGCCGTAGAACACTTACCAAAGAAAGAAGAAGGATGATTTTGATAGAAGAGCTAGACTGTCGAGGGAATTCGGAAGGGATATGGGGGAGGGGGGGGGGGGTCTTAGACATTCACAATCATTCAGAATCGTGACTTGCCGAAGATTCAATTGGACACAGCGGCGTCTGTGGTACATTGCAGTGTAGTTATTATGCGCCTTGTCGCACGCACGGTGCTAAATAAATCATTGATGGTCAGGCCGTCGCACGCAGATGGCGGGAGTTCGATTCCCTGACAGGGAGAATTTTTTATCGAATATCTCGGTCTTTCTGCTGAAACGTTGTATCCCTTTCAGCACAGGTTGACCTTAGCATGCAGGGTCGAAGCCTGCCTCCTCAATGATCTCAAATTGTGTCGTTGGGCATGGGGACTTAACACAACCACCTACAAAACAACACCACAGCTAAAAATGGTACATGTGCAGACTAAGGGTGCTAACACCCACACCAAGTACGCGGTTAGTTGGAGGTACCTATTGGTAAGTCAAAGTCCTACTTCTGAACTTTCCCCCTCTTTTCTGTCTGTCTGTCTCGCTTTTTCAATGCACTAAAGAACCAGTATTGTTTCGAAGTGCATTTCTTCACGAGGACTGGATGGGTGGCGGGAGTTCTGGTGTGATTTGCTCCTTCTTTCTTATCAAACATTTACCATCCTTCTACATGTATTTTCTCCCTTTTTTGTGCGTTACTCTGTAGAAAAATCTCTTATCTTGGCATTCATATGACCTTTTAGTGTTGCAAGTGCCGTAAATCTCTTACTAAAACTAAACAATAATAATATCATCAACAACAACACAGAAGTTCAATTCTCTTTATTTGTTATTTTTCTTCATTGACAAAAGTTTGAGTGTGACTTTGAAGTTCAAAAACGTCGTTTACTGGCGAAGTCACCTTCGAGAACATTCAGACTGTACCACTCAAGGACAGAAGAGAAATGGCACGCGTGAACTATACATATCAGCGTTCGACATTTTATCTCCAAATGAGAACACCTTCGGTGTTTGCTTAAAGTTTAAACTCGCCTTTTGTGTAACATTTCAAGATCAAGTCATACAAGAGACCGAGAAAAAAACACCCCCCCCAAAAAAAAAACAAAAAAAAAACAAACAAACAAACAAAAACACACCCAACAACAACCCCCCAAACAAACAGGATACTGTTTTGTTATGTGCCAGTAGTTATGTTAATAATTTTCCATATCAACCACTGGAAAGAATTTTGGAGTCAGTCTGCTTTGCTTTTTCCTAGCTTTACATTTTTCTTTACCCCAACAACAAACAATTTGAAGAACGCGGAATAAAGTACTTACGGGAACCACAATCTTCATGTCGTTATAAACAGTTCATAATTTCTTCTTAAATACTTCAGCTGTGTATGTTTGGTTCCGTTTCAACCATGCTGTTAATTCGTCCTGCATTTAGGCAAACGAACCGACAAAAAAGTGTGAACCAGAAATACGTGAAGACATAATATGGTTGTTTAAATTTCAACCTATGTCTCACAATTAGTTTTGTTTCAGACAAGGTAAAATCAAACCCTTACTTAAGATTTAACATAATTTGCTTAATATTATGGTATTGTCCCTTATTTATTTGTAATCAGGAGTTGATATTAGTTATTTCTTTCATTGAAATCAGTGGCGGTGGGTAGTGAAGGGCTCACGGGCTTGAGCCCCCCTCCCCACCCCCCAAGTCTATCCCAAGGCAAAAAAAATAAAATAACGAAATCAGCAGTTGAAACAGTTCTGATTGACCGCAATGAACACAGAGTGATCAACTAGGCGGCTTGCTCGTTTATCCAATCACTGTTGTCCCCGCTTACAACTATAGTAACCTAACAGCCAATCAAATGTCTTTAGGGCTCAGCAATCAACCAGCCCGTTCCCACGGTCTCTCCGTAATGAAACCCCTCTTGTAAAAAGGTAGAAGACTTGAAAAAAATAACACTGCACAGAGGGCTCACGCTCTCCCAGCCCTGGCAATGGGGTGAAAGTTTACGACACACTTTCCCCCAGTGACACAGTTACCTATGCGCCAATTGGGCCTTTGTTAGGCGCTTTCTATTTTCTGCAACAACACGACCCAATCCACCTCATACACGGTGTGTGTTTGGAGTGCTGTGTGTTTGTGCCGCTGAGATTTAACAATAATCAAATAAAAACTAATTAGAGAAATTTGGAGGTGAAACGGCTTCGTCCCCACCATCCAGAAGAATTTAACGTAGATGACTCTTCTCGTTTGAATGGTTTTCAAAATGCCGTGGCTCGCCGTGAGTATAGAAAAATCGTCACTGAGTTGTTCTTATTGCTTGTTTTTTGGTGGTAAGGAAGTGGAAGAAACCTAAGCCCCACCCAAATCTAGGTTCACCCACCGCCACTGATTGAAATACGTACATGATGGTAACAGAAAATAAATGGTCTTCAAAATACTCTCTTTGTTTCTAGTGCGGCACTGAACATGATAAAATAACAAAAAACAATAACAACAAAAAAGCAACAGGCTATGAAGCATTCTTAGACAAAGATTTTTTTTTAAAACGCAGAATTAAATTCGACTTCTTCTCTCACAAAGGAGCTTAATGAGCGATGCTCTTTCATTACTTTCAATCTATTTTCGAAATCGTCGGGCGTCTTAGGATTATGAACTCATTTAATTTACAAGAGGGGGTTTTATGTACGGGCGCCACTAGAAGGCGTTGTGTCTTTCTTTTCTCTCTTTGTAGCTTCTGTCTGTCTACCTTGCTTTACCTTCCACTAAGTGGTCCCCATTTATTTTTTTTGGGTAAGCGTTTTACGCGCTCTCAACTGCATAACGTCATATGAGCGCGCGGGACACACCAAACATTTTCAGTTGGTAGGAAATTTTGAAATTTTCAGGGGTGTCGGCCGAAGCGGTCCCCATTTTGTCGATGCACTTGTCTTTCCTCAAAGTAAACTAAAATGAAACATCCTTTCCTAATTTTAGAAAAACAATATTTTTACAAATAAAAATGCACACAAAAGCATTTAATTCGTGGTCATGGCCTTACTGATACTGTGCTGTATAAGATTTTTGTCGGTCGAGTCACTATCTTCTTCATGTACTTTGTTCTTCTTCTCCCTAATATAGTAGATTGAGCTGTTACTAATTTTGCTTTGGCTTCGATTCAGAATATCAAAATCTGGAATCTGAATGCATCGTTTGTGGTTCAGCACCAGACAACTGAGAAGCTTTCGTAACTCGTTACAGAAGTCACGGGCTCACGTTCCAAAACATATAAAAGTAGGTCATGTATTTTGGGTGTGATGAGCCCTTTATCTTTGGGTCTCTCTCCCCCTCCCCATCCCCTCTCTTTCTCTCAGTCTCTCTCTGTCTCTCTCTCTGTCTCTCTCTGTCTCTCTCTCCCCCCCCTCTCTCTCTCTCTCTCTCTCTCTCTCTCTCTCTCTCTCTCTCTCTCTCACACACACACACACACACACACACACGCGCGCGCGCGCAAGCGCGCACTACCCCTGACCCTCGGCAAAGAGAAAACCCAAAAATCGCAAAGAGGCGGAGTTAAATATCATGATTTCTGTAAGCAATTATACTCGACCATTACATCTCCATTATGCATTCAAATCTGGACATCAGCCTAGATAAAGAGCTGATTTTCAAAGTGTCATTGTAATAAAGTAGATCTACGTCGAATGAGGCATTATAATATCTGGACAGAGAGTTCCACTGGTCGGTCCTACTAATACTTTATAATCTACTCGTATGTTGTTTCCGTCTGTCTGTCTCCGTCTTCATCTTTCCCAGGATCATCATATTTATATTGAGCACAATTGTGCCAATCTCCTTGTAATTTTACACAAATAAAATAAGGTCTACATAATTTGTACTTGTATCTCAAAGATATTGTTCAACATCTCATGCACTATTTTCTTCATCTATCTATCTACTCTGAATGATGTTATCTCAAATATCCCACTGTGTGTACGAAAATGAGATCTATGGTAATCGATCGGCAGGTCTAGAATCGCGGGGTCAGCTTGACCCTCAGAGGTCGGTCAGGGGTCATCATTGTGTTGAGTACGGGTTCTACGTCGTCATGCTCGTAGCTGAGCTTGAACTTCTGCACAATCTGAAAAAAAAAAAGAAAAAAAAAATTAAAATTGTGAAAATTAAATGATATGGGTTTGACAACGCCTCTATCAACGTCATTAAGTTATTTAAGAGGCTTGACATTTTACTTCCATCTCCGAAAGGACCGAGCCAAATGGGAATTTTGTGTAAAGTGACTATCTCGTATGTCCATCCAGTGACTACTTATTGAATGTAATTGTAAGTGAGCGTGTGTGTGTGTATGTGCGTGCGTGTGTGTGTGTGTGTGTGTGTGTGTGTGTGTGTGTGTGTGTGTATGTGTTTGTGTGTGTGTGCGAGAGAGAGAGAGAGAGAGAGAGAGAGAGAGACGGACAGAGAGCAGAGAGAGAGAGAGACAGAAAGAGAGAGACTGGGAAACAGAGAGGGAGAGAGAGAGACAGACAGAAAGAGAGAGAGAGAGACAGACAGAAAGAGAGAGAGAGAGAGACAGACAGACAGAAAGAGAGAGAGAAAGAGAGAGAGAGAGGGAGAGAGAGAGTGATGGAAAGAGAAAGAGGGGGGGGGGGTAGGAGAGGGAGGGGGGAGTTTAAGACTTACGAGACAAGACATCAATTTTCTTTTTTACTTCAGGCCTTGTTGTAGCAGTACTGACATACTTATTGAAGAATGTTCTGTCTTGATTGTAGACACGAATGTCTAGTTTTATAGAAATAATAAACATTACATTTATTGTAAAGAAAAGTCAGATAAACGTAAATATAAACACTCCATTCTTAGAATCAGTTTAAAATCTTCTGTGAAGACCCTGGGTGTGCGAGTTGGTCAGGTAAGTTCCGGATGGGGGAAACGGGGGTGTCAAATTGACTTTTACTAAAAGTCGTAACCGATAAATTCTCTTACCTTAGACAACGTGATGTGCATCTCTTGCTCAGCGACACGTCGGCCTGTGGAACAGAAAAGAACACCGTACTGTAAAATTACTCTTTTTGTGACACGACATCTGCTTCAGATGTACTGTACTAGCAAATACACCGCTCTTCCTATGATATAACTGCTTTGCTTGGTCTTCTGTAAAATGCACTGTTGTGTGTCACAGCTGCTTCAGATGCTCTGCAAATACACTATTTTTGTGACACAGCTTCTTCCCGTATACTGTAAACTATTCTTATGACATAACTGCTTTGGTAAATGCATTCATTTTATAATATAACTACTTTAGGTGTACGGTAAATACACCATTCTTGTGTTATAACTGTTTTGCATGTACGGTAAATAAAACAATATATGTGTACAACAACAATAGCAACACCAGAGTCAGGGGGAGCAAGAGCATAACAAAATAACAGACCGGGCTTGATTCTACCGAAATCCCAGGACACGCTCACAACTAACTCACCGATACACATGCGTGCTCCATGCCCCCACACCAGGTTGGACATGGCTTTCACTGTAGGGTCCATATCTCCCGAGTTTTCCCGAAGCCAACGTTCGGGCCGGAAGCTCTCCGGTTCCGGAAATAGTGCCGGGTCGTGGTACATGCCGTACAAGTTGGCTTGAACATGTGTCTAGGGAAAGATAAGAGATAATTGAAAAATAAATGAAATAAAGTTTAAATTCAGAAGATCTTCTATGGGGTAAGGATTGGGAACTGCTCCTTGTCATAGTATCGGCACTATTTATCGTATCCAAAAATGCTTTGCGATAGGATAGGTTAATGCCATGGCCATTGCCACTTAATCGCCGGCGGACTTGTGTGTATACCATAGGATCGTACATAACAAGATGATTCATTCAGCAAAAAAATGTGTCCTCGGCCGAATGCATTTTGCGTCAGATGGCGCTACAATCGCTGTTTTAAAGCTCTCTTTCGTTTGTCCAGAAGCAAAATCTGTCTGTCTGTCTATCTCTCTCTCTTGCTCTCTCTCTTTCTCT